TAAAAGTCATTAAAACACCATGCCAAATCCGTCTACAACGCTTATTCATATAAAATACGTTTTGTGCCGACCCCACCTAGCGTGGGATAAGGACAGGAAGAAGAAGAAGAAGAATATTAGTTGCGCCAACTTTTGTAATACGTTGCAATGGTAGTCTATAACTTTTTATTTTGCCTTAAAATGATTTTTATTAACAATTTCGAGAAAAAATTAAAACACAATTATTTTATATGCTAAAACTATAGCAATTACGGCTTTTTATGATGCATTGTGATCATTAGCTAGACTAGACTATTTGGGTTGCTGACACAAGATATAGAACAGTAAAATTTGCGAATTTATCAAAATAATGCTCGTTTCTGAAAAAAAAAATGGCGTCCGATTGGTTTAACGCTGTTTGTCCAAAGCATGTGCTACAGAAATTTCGGAATTTATTAGTTCCATCTTAACTCCATTATAAATTCGTCGTTCTTAATCAACACTTGCGAGCTTTTTTGGTTTTTAATTTTGTGTTTTAATTTGGCTTCTAAATCAAAACTTTATAAAATGCTGTACAGTGCACGTTATTACAAGATTATATCTTTTTTTATGAACTGTCACGATGATCATCCTAGAGAACAATTGTAGTTAGCTCAGAACTAGTAACGTTATTAATATTGACGGCGACTGTACTAACCGATCAGTAGGCCCAATGCCCATACAATATTGCCCGTAGTCCAACTAGTTGGACCAAGAGCTAAGTTTTTGCCCTTGGTCCAACTAGTTGGACTACGCAATTGGCACAAGGACAATAAATGTTTTGTTTTTATGTTTTCTTAAAACTTATTGAACTTCCAATGTTATTGTAATGTAAAATTGTATGTAATGTTATTCCAATATATTAAGTGAAAGAAAAAAAAACAATGGCTACGGCATCGAGTATATAACCAGAAATAGAGACGAAATGTTATTTAATTTGTTTGAAAACTATTCTGCCATATCATTATTATGGCAACTGCGCTCCGATTGGCTAGCCCGAGTTCGAAACAATTGACGGGTGTCGTCAACGGGTGTCAACTGTTTCACTTCAAATCGGCCAGTTAAATTGAGCTTTGCTATAACGGACGAAATTTGCAAAATTACATATTTAATATTTAATTACCGATGAAATGTGATTCAGTTTGTTTTGTAATTAGATGTTTTGCTGTTTTTCCCACACCACCGAATAGAACAGCACGGCATTGTTAGAGATATTACCTTTATTACAATACAGAATATTTTTTGGAATATACGGAGACGTACACACAGGTCAGTAGTTGGCCTGTCTATATTTTAGTGCAAACGAGAGTTGATATTTAAAGAGCTGTATCGCTAATGTATTACCGGGAATATATGGCCTTTATTTCGTATCTATTTCTGGTTATATACTCGATGGGCTACGGTAATTAGGCTGAGGACACCGAAATGGCTACGGTAATTAGGCAGAGAACACTGAATGTGAGAATGGCCAAACACTCGACTAAATTATAATACAGTGTCAAGTACGAAGCTTCATTTGTATGCGTCTTTCGATTTGGTCGAGTATTAATTATTTGACAGTAATTGCTTAGGACGGAGAATATTAGGATAATAGAGAATAATAGTTTTTAACCAATCAAACATTGTACAGGCATAGGGCACATATTACTACAGTTCAACTGAATCCAATGTGACCACTTGGTATTTAGTAGAACCATATTCAGTCATAGATGACAGCAGTATTCCATACACGACCGGACTTATGCTTGTTACAGTTGAAGCAACTGTCTCAGTGTGAATAGGCAATATTAGGTATGTCTTCTCTATCGTCGTCGGAGGTCCAATGCGCACTTATTTTTTAATTAAAAAAAAATAAATGAGGCATTTAATACAGAAAATGCAAAGCGGTTCGATTCATGTGTCCATGGGTGTAGTTTTATAACCTTTGCTGACGAGCACTAAATCATCAAAATTTAATGTTTTTACTAACATAGTTCGTAAGTAATATGTATCTAATAAACTTATGGACCCTGTAGTCTGAAAAAAAAAATAATAATAAAAAATTTAACATCAGGCCTGATCATAAAGTTCAACATAAAAGATGGGTATGGCTATTTTTTCTTATTAAGCATTGACTTACAAATAAAAAAAAGTCAATGTATAATAGCAAGTTTATTTTGTGTTTTTTGTTAGCATTTTTTGTGAGAATAGAGCGTCTAGGCTAGGCTAGGCTAGGTAGGTTGACTAGTGGTAAAACAAATCTATCAATCTCGATTGCATCTGTGAAATAGTAGTCGGAAAACAATTTGGACGCAATTGTCGCCCATGCAAGTTGACTCCCAACCAGTAGTGCGGTGCCCTTGGAGCTGGCACAACTGCGCACCAATTGCATGCTGACTTTTAGCAAGTAGCCAAACTTGGAATCGCATTAGGCGGTGAAAAAAAGCCTTAATTAATTAATAAGAGAGCAAAAGACTTTGTGTGTTTCGCATCAGTGGCGGTCCGAGTGGAAGTGCTTTTTCCGAACAGCTCCAGCCGATTCCGCGTTAATAGCAGGTTTTTGTTTCTGAGTTATCAATAACATTTTCTAATTGCTTCTATTATAAAAACATGAAAAAACCCTTTCCTTGCAAAAACTTTGCTCTTGGTGGTCAGAGCAACGAAAAGTTGGAATGCATACATTATTGCGCTTTAACTAAAATAACTAATATGTTGTCCGAACTGTACCTAGCAGTTTCATATTCTGACAGCTACAAAGCGCCCTCTACGGCAAAATAATGTCGAAAATAACTTTATCAACTGAAATTATTATTTCCTTAATGACGGCCAGACATGAGCCAATGTCAGTTTCGATTAATGATGTCAGCTAATATTGATCAAGAACGCCAACGGTTAGGCAGCAAAGTTTATGTTTGAAAGAACTTCTTCGAAGGACTGCTATTGTGGAGGTCATTATTAGTTATTAGTTGTGTTGCCTGTATTGTTTTGATTATTATCTATCGTTTGACAAATAAAGATGAATGATTACATGCCACGCACCAGTTTTAAAATTACATTCAATATAAACTGTTAAAATTTTGTTATCATAATGATAGTTATGAAACTTTGACTTGCTACTAACACTTTCAGATATTAACTAGTCAAGAGCTAATTTTTTTATAAACTGTATTAATATGTCATTGTTTGGCACCTATGTAATTTAATAGTCCAAATATTATATACATTACATATATTTGGACTTACATTTTTGACAATATGTACATATGTGTACCTTAGACGAAGCAAGTCCTAGGAATTCATACTATATAGTTGGTATTTTTTGAAGATGGAGTAAAATTACAGCTCATTGCGCAAGTGTTGCCCGACTGCAAGCAGCAAGAGATTGCAGTTGATAAATATTCTATCGATAATCGACTGAATGTGGGTTACGCTTATGTAATAAATAATCGAGCTTGTTTGATTTGATTCATCATCGGCTAACAATCATCCGAATTGTTAATTTTTGGAAATTCATACACACACTGCATTTAAAACTACGTCTATTAAAATATAAGGAGGCGACATATTTCAAAGTTTTTCATTTCCATAATTATAGATAATCAAATCCGTCTGTTCTTATTGAAATGTATATGAATAAAAATTTATTTCGATACTAGAAGGCCAACTTTCAAAATGAGAACAAAAAAGGCAATAACGCAATTAATAGTCATTAGAATGTCGTAACATTCACAATTCAGACAGTTTTGGCAACATTTTTCCTTCTTTCACAATCTATCAATAAAACTGTCGACAATAACTAATGACTGAATGAAAACTAGCAACCCTGCAAATGTCATTTTACTCCAGCTTCAAAAAAAGGCGCATTAAAAAGCATTTTTGGTCCAAAAATGAAAAATATTTTGATTCAATAGTTGGAAAACAACAGTAATAAAAATATCATGAAATTATGTGATACAACTTTTTGATATCCCTTCATACCTTTGTGACAATCGTGCAAATCACAGTTACACAAATCTTAATACAAACGTTTGCCTGCAAATTTACTCACAGTATAGCTTGAATATAATTAATTATATAGCCGGGTCATTGGGAACAAAATCTGTTTCCACTTTTAGATTAACCTATAGTAACTCTGTATGTCACCTCTTACAATTTTCTACAACAATTATACAACATGTCATGGATAACGTGACCATATGTTCCACTTTGAGCGGGACAGTCCCGCTTTCACAAAACAGAACAAACGTAACATTAAATTTGAAAAATGGCGCGAAAGCGAAAAATACCTATATAAAGCCAGACATCTAGCAACAGACTATACAAGATTAGTTCTTTTTTTTAAATTTTAGTTTTTTTTTAATCATCAAACATTTCGTAACTATCATAAAAATGTGTTTTATTGTTAAAACAACAAAAAAGCGTCCTGCTCTGAAGGAAAAAAATAATGGTCACGTTAGTCATGGACTTACTTAAAATGTCAAAACACCAGGAACTATAACAAAATCTTGATTATGAATGAATACCTAGGTTTTCGCGATTGTGAAAGATGAAACATTTTATCCTGATATAAATTGCAAACATTTGTTTTTTCAAACAACACCAACGTTTTGGGCCCTTTACAGGTCCTAAGACTCGGCTGAGCTGACAGTCAGCCAAGGGACCGAAAAGTTGGTTTGTTTGAAAAAACAAATATACGCGATGGAAATCCGGAAAAAATATTTTAATTTCCTATTGATTTTTTTTTTATTCAATAACAAATAAGTACTCTTAGGGTCAATTGCTAAAAGTAAGTATTAATTCGGTAACTTGTAAAACAAATATTGCAAGTTAGGTAGGTATTGCACGGACGGCTTACAGACTAAAAAATACAAAATAGATAAACGAAATGTTAGTTTTCGATTTTAGAATTCTTTTAAACATTATATTAACAAATCTCTTAAATCACGTATTGCTTATCATTATGCTGGTCAATGAAACCAACTTATTTGGTGTTTGGTAATACCTACCCTGCACACACCTAGTCAAAATAGAAATTCTAATAATAGACATGTCTATAATAGTTTTACATTTTACAGAAAACTAATAACATAACACAATATTGAAGAAAACTCAATAATCATAATATACTTAAGACAGACTACTGTCGGTATGGCATTCATAATAAATAGCCAGTATAATTTTTAATTTTAAATTAGAATAAATAAATTCAAGAAAAGTCAGTGCCCTGCTAAGAAATCCATCGATAGTACAAAATCGTAGCATATTGATACATTTCATAGTAGTGCTACTATATTACCATGCGATCCAAGGAGGTTGATTCATTTTACTAAGAGGCACATGAGTCAAATTGATTGGAAGATTAACAATTGCATATTTCCTATGAGATTTTTTTAAAACTCGGAAGATAGCGGCTCCACTGCGACCTAGGAGAAATCCTGCTGGAATATCTACATCTAGCTGCATCCTGAAATGTAGAAAAGTAACATGAAGTTGACAATAGCAAAAAATTCAACCATGTAATAATTTGGACACTAACACTTTCTATTTTTTACCTGTTTTTTTTATTCAAGGGATAAATAATCATAAAATGGGTAGGCGACACTAAACATCGATTAGAACAAATAGACCTAGTGTTCCGCGAACATAAGGAAAAATTTAGTAAGCAAGTACATACAATGTTAACAGCTTGAATTAAAACAATTTGTCCAAATTGAGTAGATGGCAAATAAATTTAAAACTTCTCTTACTTTCCTCTTAAAAGCATGTAAGGCTAACCCGAATCTATCTATATACATAATATACGAGGGTCATGCCAAAAGAAATTAGATTTTCAAAAATTATAAAATTTATTATTTATTACAGGTATCGATTTTTTCAAAGTATTCACCATGAACACGTATGCAGTTTTCCGTTCGTCTAAACCACTTGGAAAATATCGATAACCACTCTTCTTTAGACATCTCAGAAATCTTCAAGTTTCAAGCAGCCAAGGCATATTCTTTGCTTTCAAACAGTTTGCCTTTTAATTTTTCTTTAATTTTTGGAAAGAGGTAAAAATCACAAGGTGCTATGTCAGTGGAATATGGCGTGTGAGCCAGGATAGACACATTTTTTTAATGAAAATAGTGGAGTGTTCTAGCAGAAGTGTGCGGAGCGATGTTGTCGTGATGCCAGGGGAGGTGCCGGATTCCTGACTTCGGCCTCTTGTCACACCAAGCTGACAACACTTTTGGGGCACAAACTATTATATACCATTCGGAGTTAACTGTCCTTTGATCCTCTAGCACTACAGTAGCAATGTGTCCCGTCATACAGAAACGTTCTTTCTGCTCATCGTTAAGTTTGTGCGGAACCCATCTCGAACAACGCTTATGAAGAGACAGTTGTCCGTGAATAATAGTTTGCAATGCTGCTGATCCAATGCCCAGTTCTCGCTCAAGCTCTACATATGTAGTTCGTCGATTTTCACGAATTACTTTTTCTACAGTTTGAACGTTTTCTTGAGTAACCGCATTTGGCGGCCGACCTTTTTTTTTCAAAACGTTTTTGAACAAAGTCCTTTATTACTTAAATGTCTAACGTTCAGAGAATGTCAGTAGATCTGTATAATAATTTATTTATAATATAATAATAATCTATTCATAAGATTCAATTTTATATTAAGGAACTCAATAATATAATATAAAGTAGGTATAAGTACACAAATCATATAGACAAATAACGATCTAAGTGGCCCAACAGTTTGCACTATGAGTGCTGGATGAGGAGGTCCCGGGTTAGATTCCCTATACGACTAATAATGGTAATGAACTTTTTAACTGAAAATGAAGATGAAGTAAATCAACGAGAGGTCACAGTAAATGAATTTAGTAAGCAAGTACATATAATGTAAATTAAATTAAATTTTTTATTCTTTTCCCTTTTTTTAACTTTTTTTGCTCATTTTTCTGCATGACGGGACACATTGCTACTGTAGTGCTAGAGGATCAAAGGACAGTTAGGCCGATATGACTTCGCCTTATCTTCAAAGCTTCCCCATCCTCTTTTAAATTCAGCAAACCAATTGAAAACTGTAGCTCGTGAACAAGCAGTATGCCCAAAAGTTGTGACAAAAAGTTCAAAACATTATCATATTGCGGATTTAAACCTTTTTTGTAGTCATAATAAATCATAACACGAAAATCACGTCGAAAGAGCTCCATGTTGCGAACAAAATTCCCGCTAGATTGTCACCGAAAAATAAAAAAATGAATAAAAAGAATTGTAACAAACCTACTTTATGTAATAGACGCATTGACTTACAAATAAATAGAAGGCCTTAATCCAGATTGTTCGCTTTTAGTTCTCTAAGAGTCCGCTAGATGGCATTGACCCATTTGGCGTTATTTCTGAATCGCGGTGTAAAGATTTTCCCTCGAATGGTGACTACTCGAATACAATTTTGTTAATGTGAAGAGAAATCTGAGAATACAGAGAGCTCAGTAAGGAACGGAGACTTCCTTTACTGGGAACTGCTACTAGACATGGGGAATAGCGTTACATTTATATCGCCGTGACTATCGTTCCGGTTCCAAAAAAATCACAGTGATAAATCATCGTGATTTTGTCACGACTGTTACTTCCGTGACCTTGTCACGCCCATAACTTACATCACGATATACGGTTTTAGCCAGCGGCTTCTTTCTAATACTTATAGCAGTTTTTTATAGAATGATTTAAGTTTTTACTCCATTTGTAATAAGTTTAAATTCCATTCCAAAAGTTGATTTTGTGTTGAATATAATTTTGTTTGTTACTTATTTAATGCGAATCTTTGAATTGTTAAAAATAGCAATAAAGTGTAAAGTAATTATATTTCTAGTAGAATACACAAAGTAGATTATACATAAATATAAAATACCAACTCTTCCTATAATAAAACAAATATACAAAAATATTTTTCTTTGTTCATAAATAGGTTTATAATAACTGCTGCAGATTTTTTCATCCGCCCTTTCTAGTAGTATAAGCACCTACGACCCTTGTGAAGAAAAGTCATCATATTTCATTCCCTCCCATCGCTGAAATGGCCCGATTTGAAGAGAACTACAACGAGTGGCGCGCTCAGTCACCACGGAACGGAGATCGCGCATTGTATCAAATACGTATGTCGTGATGTGAGTGACGGGGATAGCTATTGGAACGGAGGAACACCTCTGTGACTTTGGAACGTCGTTCCTTCGGAACGAGTCACGGTGATACTGTTTGACGGTGGATCATCGTGATTTTTCATCGTGACGTTATTTATCACCCACCTCTAACTGCTACCCGGATCTCCTGATATTTCGTAGCTCATATAGGGTGAAAGATTATTGCCCATCATATAGGGTGAAAAACCTCATCTCGCGGAACGGTTTCCAGGAGTGAGTCCCTTCTTGGGAATAACTGCCCGGACCTTCCGCATATAAGGTGAAATTGTATTGGCGACATACAGGGTGAAAATAAACATCTTCTGAACCACTTGGAGTTTCACTTGGCTTGTTTTGGTAACCTCATCCAGCGGAAGAAAGAACCTCCCTTTACAGAATTAGATTTAAGACGTGCTCCATTTTCAAATTTACTAGCAAATAACCTGCCTTTACGACGGTGTATAACTTGCCAGTATCAAACAAGTGATTAAAGAGTATCTAAGTTCTTTTGGCATGACCCTCGAATATTATATTGTGGAAGACAAGCACACCAATTACCTGATCTCAAACTAAGGAATTCCCTGTACTATGAGTGCCAGATCACCGGAATGCACTCCGGGGCACTATCCTGCACACCCAAACCAGAACCAATTGAAAAAAGTTCATTGTCATAATTAGTCGTACCGGGAATCGAACCCGGGACCTCCAGCACTCATAGTGCAAACCGTTAGGCCACTTAGACCATTATTTGTCTATATTATTTATGTACACACGCCAGCACATCAAGCTACACATTGACGTAACTTGTTTCGTTGCACTGGAGGCGATTTTCGAGCAAAAATGTGTAGTCTGATGTGCCGTTGTCCGTACTTATACCTACTTTTAAATATTAAACGTTTCAAATTGAAACCAACAAAATTCAATTTACCAAAAAATGAATTGCCTAAACACCAATGGATATTGGGTCAGACGCCTGTGAGCTCGCCTAGGGTGTGCCATATGGCGTTGACCTGCTATAAACTTGGAGTATTGGGAGCAGCTAACCATGTGGCTGTTCAGTGATATGCCGAAAGTGGGCAAAAGACGTACCACTTTAAAGAATGCCAAACACTTCAAAATCAATATGAAACATCGCAAAGAAGGGTGGCGAAAACTGCTCCAATAACGACGAAGAGCCGTTCATGGACTTTGCTAGTATAATTTTGCGTTTTTGTTTATGCCTAGTTATCAATATATTTTTGTATATTTTTAAAAGTCGGGAATAAAAAAATTGTAAAACATTGTATTTTAGAAACGATGCAAGAACACAACGCAATATATTCAGTTCGACCATAGAATAGGTAATGTTCTTGTACAGTCTTATACACAAGATACCTGACCTCCCCAAGCCGACTTTGTCGATCTTTTGGTTCTGAGCACAAAAATGTGGAGAAAACTATTAAACAAACTTAATCCTTAACCTGTGAGCCGTAAAATTTATGTTGGTATGACTCCCTGGTCGTCCTATTAGTGAATGACATTTTAAGAAAGTTTTTAAGCCAATCTGATCTTTAACGTATGGTTCTCACTTAAATACAGAACACAAATTTCAACCACCTTTAGTAAGGCCGTCGTGGCCAAGTGATATAAGGATTGCTTTGCAAATTGAGACAAGCATGGTTTGACTCACATTAAAAATAAAATGTTATTGAGCTATGACTATATAATATTGTGTTTCTTTTGTTTTTAACGTCTGAATAGGTGTAAGGAATGTCTAAGTCTTCTTCATACAGAACAATAATTTCTAATTTTAATAATTCTGTTAGTGCGGCATGTTACTCGTAAAACAAGAAAGAAAACTTTGAAAGTCACTAAAACCTTGAAAGTAATTAAAACTGAATAGACAAATAGGAACGAAACGTGGAACAATGCGTAATCACAGAAGACATGACCGTATGCAAACTGCAGAACGATTTCGTGATTTGTTAATCTATCCATACCCACCCTACGCTTTCTTAATAATATCTACCCACCCACCTTAGGCAATTTCTAGCAAATATTGTGATTTGTCAACGTTAACATTAAAAAGTGAAACAATGCTGTTAAAAATATAACGTTAAAACAAAACAGTGCTCGTGAAATCCAACCACAGGTATTGTAAACTGGCAGTCGATACAACAAGCCGCTCGACCAATTTACTTGGAAGCTAAATGACGAAATTTAGTATTGGTTTTAAAGATATGTTCATTATCTTCAAGCAACACTCCACTGTATTGCTTATGAAATAAAGTTAAAATTGCTTTAATTTTTTCTTTGTTCAATACGTAAGATGGCTCTCAGAACCAAAAAGTTGGTTTGGGCATGTTAGGGGGTCAGGTATCTCATGTATATGACTGTACGTATGTTTCATTTTAAGCATGATTGAATGAATGTTTACCTACTTGAAGTATTAGTTATTTTATAGTACACGCATAAAACATTAAAGCTATAAAATACCGAATGAAATAATTAATTAAACAGTAATGACATAAAGCAAAAAATAAAACACAATGTGGCAAAAATCTTTAGACAATATTTAAATGAGAGATAGTGAAAGTTGCAAAGGAACGTTTTGACAAGAGACCTCTTGCCAATGTCAATGTCACATTGATATTGAGAACAGTGTACCCTTTGTGGCAGATTTAATTTTTATTCGATTTTATTGTTGCAGAACATGATAAGTTATATGAAATGTGGCAAAGTTTGGCAGATTTGGGAATATTCGGGAAGCTCTTTATTATTTTTGGGAAGAAATTGAAAACTTGTTGTTTTCTGCAACTACAAACCGTTACAAGACAATGTTATAAACATAACCTATATCAACTTTATAACCCCAGCTTCTACAGACTGTACTCAATTAGCTTTTTTGATGCTTTGCTAATGAATCACAACTATTGATAGGACTCCTAAATGCACGTCGTGAAAAACACTGGATCACAAAATACACGGGATTTCGCCATCCTTGTTTATAAAAAAAAAATTTGCTCAGACTTCCACATATTCACAAAAATAAGATTTTCAAACTTAATCTAAAAAAGGAATACTTACTTATCATCCACCATTTCAATAAGACGATCAAGGGCTTCATCCCATTTGTCTATATTCTCAGTAATAATAATGGCTTTAGCACCAGCTGCCTGAGCCTTTGCTGCTTTGAACACAAATGAACACTCCCTGTAATTTCAAATTAGTCTTTATAACTAAAAATATATTTAGGAACATACATACCATTACGCCTGTCTAGTCAATTTTCCTAAGCAAATTAGAAGTGTGTTATTTAATTAGGATAACTTTATCAATTACTGCAAAGGAATAAACAACTTGAACAGACTTAGTAGGTTGTCCTCTGCATGATATCACAAATAACAAAGCAACTCTTTTAATGTGGCTAAAGATTTCATTGTATTTTATGAGTACCATGAGTAATATTGGACATGCCTTAAATTTTATTAATGTCACAGTATAGTGCGACCATATTCCTGCTTGAATTTTATACTCATGAAATGAAAATATAATGGAACTTGGAACTAGCTAGCATACACCTGGGCCATTTTATTACACTCTGATTATGTAATGACTTATTGTGTTGTGGTGTGGTCTCCAAACAAATTGAAAACATGTTCCACCATGTTGCACTTGACGTAAGGTACCCCAAGTATGTATTTTCTCTACAAAAGTAAATAGAGCTCTTTAAAGAAAATAAACTTCAAAAATAACAAACTATTTGAATGAAAAAAAATTCTTACCCTCTTTCTGATAATGCAATGTTGCCAGCAATATCATCGTGGTTCATTATATCTTGGCAACCATGTACGGGGTATGTAGGCACTAAACGGGCTTCTTTAAACTGCAATGTTTTATTCTGTAAAACAATTTTATTGGCAAAATTAGAAGGTGGATCAAAAGGGTAGGTGGTATTGCAAAAAGTAGAGATTTTTTGTCATAATTATTATTTGAAAAATCGCATACATTTAAAATTGCAATAATTATGTAATTTCTGGTATTTAGACTATTATTATAAATGTGTTATTACAGTATGAAATATTTATTCGCAAGCAAACACAGTAAGAAAAGACATTATTATACCCTCGTATATATATATATATATATATATATATATATAATACGTATAGGCATATAATATATAAAACGTGTTCTAGACACCATTGTCACGAACACGTATTGCACCAGATACTGGCACGCAAATATTAAAATAAATTGAAGTTAAATAATGTCATAAATTAAAATTATACAATTTGTCAAATAAGCAATGTCATATAAAATTAAGTAAAAATGCCAATAAATAGCAACAGCAACAACATCATAAATTAAACAATATCAAAAAAGTAAGAACAGCACAAATATAAACAAAGTGTCAAATACAAACAAAGTGTCAATATCTTTTTATTATTAAAAAATCTTTGATATCGTATAAACACAGATCACATAGCAAATCAAATAACTTTTTTTAAATATTTTTATAGGTAAATCTGCGATAGCTGCAGGCAAAGTATTATATATTTGTATGGACATGTTACAGCAATTCCTATAAAAGCAAGTAGTTAAAAAATTACATACTTCACATTTCCTAGTAAATAAGACCAAGTTTTTTTTAAGAAACATGCATACCTCATATACGTACATGGCGGGAAGCATTACAAAATTTAGCTTTCTAAAAAACGGTCTACAAGATTCGAGCGGACCTAATCTACATATAGCTCTGACACATTTTTTCTGGATAGCAAATACACGGTTTATCTCTACGCAGTTCCCCCAGATGATGAGGCCATACCACAAAATTGAGCAGACAAATGCATGGTAGGCCATCAAGGCAGTCCTCTGATCACATATGTGCGTTGGACGATGTAAACCAAATACAAATCGATTCAGCTTTGCACATATTGAATCAACCTGTGGCTTCCATGTTAGTTGCGAGTCCAATACTATGCCGAGAAAATTGCTGGATGAGCATTCCACAATTTCATCTCCATGACAACTTACAGAGAGTTTCTGGGGCTTTCCATTATAATTATAAAATTGTATGAGCTTTGTTTTTGAAACATTTACTTTATACTAACTAATTACTTTATTCTAACAGTTATAGTAATCATTTCATCCGAAAATGCTCTCTACTCAGATACTAGCATGTAACATAGTGCTAATCTCAAGTTATCATGTATCACACCATTCTACTAATATATAATGACTAAAAGCACAACAACCTGTTTAAAAGCCATACATTAGACCAAATTTTCTATTATGAAAACACGATTTAGAATAATTTAAAAAAGAATACTAGAATTTGTCTAGTAATTAAGATTTCTTAACTATGCTTTAGACACTTCTAATACTTAACTTCAATTTATATGTAACACCCATTATACTATAGACTCTCATACTATTCAAAAATTCAAAACTAATGCATCATATGGTAAGATAGAGAATACTTTTGTTTTATGTGAATTCACTTACAAAAGGTATACCAAAATCTTTAGCTGGTCTTATCCGATACGAATATCGTAGCTCTGGAGGGTCCAAAATTTCGAAAAAAACGTCTCCATTAATCACGTCGGCCGTCGAAGCTCCGTCGTGGAAATGTAAATCGTTAGCTGTAAATAGGAGTAACAAACATCTTAAATAACCTATAAGATTTAAAATAACATAATTTTGGGGTAAATCTTCATAATATATAGGAAGGAAGCTTAGAAAGTTACTCAATGTGTACAGAAAGTCATAAAAACGCGCTTAATTAGCGTAGAAGATAACCTAATTGTGGAAATATTACACGTCCTGAATAATGAGTAATTACCTCCGGGCAAAACAAAGTCACACAACAAAACAAGCAATAACGTTAAATATAACGGTAATAAAGTTCTTCCTTCGTTTAATTCAAACATCTTAAAATTAAAACTAATAAAAATCGATATCAACTTGTTCGTTTTGACAGTCATATGTGATTGTTGTGATCGATGTCACTGTCAAGTAATTTTTTCGTGGAAATGAGAGACTAGGGCCAAAGATCATATCGCCTCTTTTTTTTCCAAAAAAGTTACTTTTTAAATCTGATTCAGTTCTTTTCTGAGAGTCGTATTCTAGAACTCTATTCAATGCTCAAGTCAGGATTGCACTGGCAACACAAGCACTCGAAATACGACCCTAATGCCAGGGACTTGAGTATGATATCAAGTGCTTTAAACCATACTCAAATCCTAACTTGAGCATTGAGTAGAGTTCTAGAATACGACCCTTAGACTTTTCCATCCTCTAACGTTCTTTTATTTGATTGATTGTCGTTACCTACTATTTTTTGTAGTACTCGGCAATACAAACATGACATTGACTGAACGACTTTGTGTCTCATGCTTTTTTTTCCATCCTCTAAGCTCATGCTTAGACTAATTTTTTTTTCCATCCGCAAGTTCTCATGCAATAAATTAAAAAAAAATCTCGACTGTGAATCGTTCTCATGCAAACGACCACAGGCATGTAATATCTAGATAGACGCCGCATGTGTACGTACTTCGCGTGCCCAAAGTGAAATTCACTTAGTTGCCGCTACCCTACATTTCAGAATGCGCTCGACTGTAGTCGTAGATAAACACCAGACGAAAACGCGAAAAATGGATCATTCTTAGAGCATATAATAATATGCTATGTCTTCCACCTAAGTTATGGATAGGTATTTCAGCAAATGATTTTTTGAGGCATTCTGAGTATTTTATACCTGATTCACCACTCTCCTATAGTTTTTGAAGGTTTTAGTTTTTGAATTACGTAAATCCATATTTTATTTTAATTTTAAAAGTTACTAATTTAATTACAGAAATCGATATAAAACATTTTAAATTAATATTTTTCATCATCTAGATCAATCATTACATTGCTGATTTAAACAAGAACAATAACTTTGAAAATTTAAATTCAAAATTCTATTTATTTTGTCAGGAACAGAGTTTTTGGATTTGCGGAATTTACCTTTAATATCATATACACTTTTTATGATTGTACACAAATGTACGAGATATAATAAAAAAGATTATATTTTATTGTATGTACAATGATTAATGGAAAGTCCCCTATCAGAAACAAGCCATGTCTTCTATAATACATTATTTACAAACATTGACTTACAATTATACTCAATGTTTACAAAGTATATAAATCCGTGGTTGAATCGTATTGAGCCACGTGTCCTGTTTCTGTGGGTGGACGTGTCTATGTTACAGTAAAATCCCTTTTAATATTTACTGATGCCGTTCCTTTACAAATTTTATGCACTTAATCTCTGATTTATCGTCACTATATTTTCTTTTATTTTTTTACAAATAGTAGATTGATGGAAAAGAAAAAAGTGTCAATGGTTCTGATGAGTAATTTATGAAGATTTTATAAGTTTTGATTAATTTAGTGTGGGAATCATTAAACAAATTTAAATTGTAAACTACTGTAATGGAATGCAAAGCCAACTTAGTTGTCAGTATTCCTAGAATTCCCGAAATTTAAGGAACAATTATTTGTATTGGTCTTCAAATTTTATTTTAGATTGAAACTACACTAGTTTAGAGTAGTAAAACTATAATATCGCAGTATTAGGATGCTGTGCGATGTCCCGTATAGAGTTCTTGATATAGAAGAGATCAAGAAGTCACAATGTGATTGTAAGGGAACGTATAATTTGGCTCTGGTAACCAAGTAAAGAATGAGAGCAAGTGATACTTTACGCTTTGAAGTGAGCAAAAGCGATTGCGACTGGCGACTACTGTGTCAGTCGTTGAGGCACAGCTGTACTATTATGTGTATTTGTCTGTGTTTGACATTTTTCCACCCGGTATTCAGAATGATTTCGATTTTTCAGTGATCGCTAAGTAAAATCAAGTTTTTGTTTTTGTGTGCATTTACGGATTTGCAAAGTAAGTTTAGTATAGAAACTTTCATCATTAACTCTTGAACATGCACTTACAAATTGAGTACTAACTGCAAATTCATTTTGAGCTTTTTCATCAATGAACTTCATTTAAAAGACTTACAATATAAATTGAAGTAATTCTATTCAAATATATATAGGTAGTAATAACGGGAACTATTGCATCATTTTTATGGTTCTACTCATTGACACAAAGAAATTTCGACGTGTGATATATATATATATAGGTATATACATTTTGATACTATGTACAATGTATAAGTTCTGGTATTTAACGTACCATTCATAAATATAAGATCTGAAATCGATATATTTAATTCCAGTTATGAAATTGTTTTGCTTTGTCTGTAATTGCATGGTCTGTGCTTTGTGTAATGTTAATAACATTACTTGTTACGACGAGATCGGTGGCCCAATGGTTTGAGGTCCCGCTTTCGACTCTCGGTAGGACCAACTTGTGAAATTACTTTTTCAAAGTTTATTTCGGTCTGGGACTTCTTGGTAGTGCCCAAGAGTGAAATTAGAGTCCAGGTCCTTGGTGTAGCTGTCTTGACACATTATGCCTTTAGTGCCTTGTTATAAAGATTGCATTTTTTATGTAATAAATAATAATAAATAAAAACTTTCTGTCTATGATCATTAAGTTTCTGAAGTTTCCAATGCGTGCATTGGAACTACAGCCCATGTCCTCCCATTGTGAGAGGAGACCCCTTTTTTAACCCCCCATAACACCCCTCATGGAAGATGGCATAACTGGAGTTACATCAAAACGTTTACTGCTCCATTAGATACAGAAAAATATAAGTAACTCACATCCTCTCCAATTTTTGTAACTGTCAACTAATATTGCAGATAAAATTAATGAGCTGTCTGAGAAACCCAAGGGCTACCTTGCTCAACCCATTAGCATAGCTATGCAAAGGGGAAATATTGCCAGTGTCTTGGGCACCTTGCAGCGGGAACCCAATTTATGCATATAATTTTAAAATCTTTGTTTTACTTTCTAGCTTTTAAGCTTTTATTGTCTTTTTTACATTACCTGTATATTATCGAAATAAAGTAAGACTTAAAGAGGATGTTATATTTTTCTGTGTTTCCTGGAGTAATAGACATTTTTGACGTAACTCCACTTATGCCATTCTTCCATGAGGGGTGTGATGAAATAGCTGTTGATTGAGGTACACACATAGATAAATGAAAGTATTAAGGCATTTATTGCAACCAGAGGTAAATAAGGTGTAAATATAAAATTTTTCAATACCTAAAGAAAGCTTGGTAGGGAATCGCAACATAATAAACAATATTTAAAACAAAACATATTGAGTAGTATTGGTTATCAGTTCAGAAATATATATTTTTAAATTTGAAATTACTATCTGTATGTTAAATGGCTTGCTGCATGCGTTGCAAGTAGATGTAATTATAGGCCAGTCTCTTTGTCACCACATTCTATACATCACAGTAATCTCTATGCACACTTCTACACTTGAATAATCTGAACAGAGTACTCGTCAATGGGCAAATTAACTATTTTACAGCTAATGCCCAAACGATTTGTATAAAATTTTAAAGTTGACTAACTATTATTTTTATAATGAAAAAATAAACTTCAATTTACCTGTAGTCTAAATTCAACTACTAAATATTTTTTTAAATTATTGTATCTACAATCTTCACACTATAATTAAATTGTTTGAGTGATATTTGGCATTTGAGAGTGAGGAAACCACTGCTACAGCCTCTCTTAGTTATCGAACACATGCTCATCATTTAAGTCTTTAATGTACCTCCCATCAACAAGTGCTATAGTGAGAGGATTGGGATGAGTATGGAACCAATCTCTGTATTTAGGTCTATACAGGTCCATCACTTCTAGCATTGTTGGAAAAACTAAATATTATTTGTTTTCAACGCATGTTTAGGGAACAAAAAAACTATATGATTGGTTCAAAGAGTATTCTATAATCAAAATATTTTCTTGAAGACTTTGTATTAACTAATTTAATATTTATTGTAACTAAAAATTATAGCTATGCTAGTATGGCAGTTAACACAGGGGATAATTTAAGTGTAATTTTTTAAATTAATTATAGCAGTGTTGGTAAAAATATTGATTGACCGCAATCTCTCTTAATGTATGCGACTTTCTAAACAGATATATAGTTATGTTTCCTGTGAAAAGGTGCAGAATGGACGACAGAGATTTGGAGACTGAGGAGCAGCTGCTCTCCAGGCCGTACCAAACGCAGCTGGAAGACATATCTGTTAGCAAGAACACCATCATACATTTGCCTACAGGTTAATACTTTATGATCAAAAAATTTTTTTTTGCTTTTAAGCCTGAATTTGCCACTATAGGGATGTTAGGGACATTTGTATTTGTATAAATTTTCTGTAAAACCAAAAATCTAATTCTAGTAATTAAACAAGAATAATGTAACCTTCGTATTAATCAAGAGCATGTCAAGCTAGACGCTTTGGACCATTCTTATCGGAAGCGGTTATCTGTTCAATATCAATGAAATTGAATTGAAAAAGAAGTCCATATTATATAATATTTTTCTTTATTATTAAAATACCCACACCCTTGTTAATTATAGTCAAGTTTCTTACCTGATTATTACATCTATGTACAAAAAACCTGTTTAATTTTTGCCCCCTGCAGGATCAGGCAAAACATTCATAGCCATCAACCTAATCAAAAGATTACGCAATGACTTAAGAAAACCATGGGGACAGGGAGGCAAACGGACCTTCTTCTTGGTCAACACAATACCTTTGGTCATGCAACAGGTGAGTCAAAAATATTCATAATTTTTATTGTTTTAGTGCTTGTTAGTGTTTAGTTGTTGTTAGTTGTTTTAGTTATGCATCTTAACTGCCTCTTTGGTCGAACTGATTGAATGCTTCAGTAGCCTCCGAGTGGTCTGCTACGCAGTGGTCCCAGGTACAACCCGGGCCGGGAGAAATATTTGTATGGCCTCCATTTATTTCTCTCGTGAGTTTGGGTGTAATTTGTGGTTGTCTATGTGTATGTCCATGGCACACGCGGGCTGTGTTGAGTGTGTGCATTATTATTATCTATATTATAGAAAATTTGATTACCTAACTTTTGTGTTTCCACGACATTTTACCAGATTCATAAATTCATAACAATAACGCACCCAAGATACACCTTAGGGCTCGATAACATTGAGCTAGTTTAGTAACTACTAGAGGGCGAGTGAATTTTTTTTATGATATCAATTGACGGGACGAACAAGTCGTGCGCCTGATGGTAACCTACACGCCTGTCCATAACAGTTGCACTCAGAGCTTTAAATCGCAAAGAGGGGCACTGCCACTACGACCGTCATCCTGAGACATACAAGTCGAGTTGACAAGTCTCATGTGCCTGTAATTACACTAGCAGCACCCTTACCCTTCAAAACCGGAACATAGTAATGCTGACATTACTGCTTGGCGGCAAAACTAGGTAAGGTGCGTTAGTGATGATGATCTCAGGAATTACCGCAGCTACCGTATCGTAAATGTAAATGTAAATGTAAACAATCTTGATACATCTTTTTATTGAAACATTATACTTTACAAATCAATAGGTATAAAAATAGGCATGCAATTTCACATGATGTAAGTATTTGTATTTGGAGGTAAATAAAAATAATTTTATAAACGTATATTTCATTAAATAGACATCTCATGATTGTTTACATTTAGTTAAGTTCCTAAACAAATGGACTATAGCTTGTACGTTACACAATTCACATAAAGTTAATTATGCTATTACAATACAATTTCGTTACAAAAATTAGCTTTCATTCCGTCCTGCAGCAATGCGAATTGGTCCTCAATGTAGTCAAGGCTTTACAATTAAAATTGTTAGGTACAATTGACAGAATTGACGCCTCATTACTAAGTAGTATTTCTTTCCATCGGTCTAAATGTTTGTGTAACATTTATACTAAAAGAATTTAATAAATAATATCTTTGTAATGTTATGTCGGTAACTGAAATGATTTCTAATCTATGTAACTGAGTAACTGATATTGTGGTCAAACTAATAAAATATTGAGTAGTTTGGATATTATTTCCTCATTTAGGAAGTGTGACTGATTACATTATGATGTCTAATTCTATGCTAGTTAATTAAATAGATATCTTAACACAGTTTAATTTGTGAGTAAACTTAGTAAAACAAACAGAGTAAAATTACATTCGCAGGGTTGCCAGTTTTCGTAAAATATGAAGTCATGTTGCTGTTGTCGCCAGTTCTATCGATAGATACAATTTTGCAAAAAATATCTGAATTGTGAATGTTTACGACGTTTTAGAAGTTCTGATTAGTAATTGCGTTATCGCCTTCTTTATTCTTATTTTGACAGTTGGCCCATTAGAATCGAAATCAATTGGGTATTACTTATTTGACAGTAATTGTTTCGGACGGATGTCAGACGGAGAGCGGGAGTAGACCTGAAACGGTACTCGTACTTTAATATAGATTATGACATTGTTAGCTGAATAGTTATTGGTTTACAGTACCAAACGACTCTCACTATAACGACGTGTTTTATTTATATGACAGATCCGTACACAAGGCGAAAGAGGAAAAAGAAGTAGTCTAATAGGCCATAAATAGTAATTGCTCGTAATTGATTTAATTCCACACAAATGAATAAATAATAAAATACAGATTTTCTGGCAGTATCTTGTACAAATTAATCATGTCGGCGTACCTACATATATTTTGTTGTTATTCTAATTATACTACTTAAATTATGTTAATTTTCTTATTGTTTGTATGTCGACTGTCAGACTCTTCCTATTGTAACCGTACTTTACTGCCTTCGGTAACGAAAAAAGTCACAACTATGCGTAATTTATGCAGCAGTTGTGCTTTTTTCGTTCTGAGTTCCGCAGCACTAGCGGAGCGACTGCAGCCCATGCTACGTGTTCAAATAAAATCATAAATTAGTAGAGAACTGTCGCAGCACTCGCCGCCGCCCGCCGCTTTAACAAGATACGCCTCCGCCCGGCGCTGCCGCTGCGGCGCCATGTGTGATCAGACTTTAAACTTAAATAAAACATTTTTTAAATTACTAGTCTTGTCTGCGAAAGTGTGTTTATAAATGCATAGGCGACTATAACTGCGGCGCTGCTGCAGCGGAGGCGATGGCTCTGTTGTTTCGGCGTCGTGTGTAATCAGAGATAAAACGTTCCACAATAGAACGAACACCTTATTTAACATTATATATAAATAGAACATATAATAGAACAACCACAGCACGTTGGACTTCACGTGTCAAATTTTGCTTTGCAATATTTTGCTATCATAGATGACATAGAGATTTGTATTAAGCTTAAAGCCTGTGTGTGTTGAATTTACATACGATAATTTTTCATGAGATTACTAAGCAATAAATGAGTACTTAGCTAACGTATCATACACAAACCTATGTCATTAGCCCTTAGATAAAATTTAATAGATGTCACACCACAAAGAAAGGATCCTCACTTAATTTTCCAATGCCACCGTATTTCTTTTCTCAACTTTGGTTCAGAGTAGATTGAAAGATATTTTGAATTTTATCGAAAATTGTAGTGGTTGCCTATTTTATACTCTTTTTAAGCAGACCCTTACTCAGTAATACAAAGTAGGCGAATTCTCGTAACTTTAATTTTTTACTACTTTAATTCTCGTAATTGAGTAAGACTTTAGGAAGTTTTGTAATAGTTTTATTTTATTACGTGTTACAGAAAAAGGTGATCGAGTCTCTGTGCCCTGTGGAGAGCGTAGCAGGATACAGTGGCGAAGACGGAGTAGACTATTGGAAAAAGGAAAAATGGGACGAAGAACTGAAAAAACATCAGGTAAGATATCTAGAGACAACATTTAAATTACATTACTTACAAATTACACATGTACGAGCAGCTTTTATTTAAGTGCTCATGTGTGCAAACTTAAATGTGCACGTACATTTACCGCGCATTTACTTACACACATCAAAAAAAGTTTGCGATCAATAGCATAAGCTCCTATAATTCTTTAAATTTAACTTTATCAAGAAAAAATCTATGTTGTATGCTTTCTTTAAATAGGAATACCCTGTTTGAAATTAAAATATAAAACTATCTTTTATTATTTATTTTAAAAAATTGAGCCATTAATCATAATGTAATAGTGATAGAAATTTCATAGAAAGAAAAAGACTGTTTAATTAAACTTAAACAACAATTTATTATTAAAAGGTGTGAATTCAATATAAAATAACTCCTCCCCTGGCTCGAATACATGCGAAGATCCTCCTGGGCATGCTGAGGATCAAGTTATCCAGCATTTCCTGGGGTAACCTATCCAATTCTTCAATAGCGGCTTCCCTGAGCTCTGGAACTGTCTGCGGACGTGGCTCACGGTTCCATACTGCTCGTTTAAGAGCATCCCACGCGTGCTCTATTGGGTTTAAGTCGGGCGAGCCGGCAGGCCAGTCTAATCGTGTGATATCGTATTCTTGAAGAGCAGCATTGACTCGTTGAGCTCGATGTGCGGGCGCATTATCATCGACCAGTACAAATTGGTGCCCATGGTTTACTCGGAATGGTCTGACGATATCATCAATAGCAACTGCTTTGTACATGTCTGCTGTCATGAAGCCCCGATACGGGATCAAAGGCGTTCTAGCTCCAATCATAATGCCACCCCAAAAGGACACCGATTTTCCGCCTTGCTGAACTGTTCCAGTGGCAGTTCTTTGTCTTTCACGGTCGCCTGGTCTTCTCCAGACAAGGACACGTCGGTTATCTGGATGAGTGCTGATTCGGGATTCGTCAACGAAGAGACAGTTTTGCCAAATGTTTTCGTCCTCACCTTCTTCATTTTGCCGAAGTCTAGCCCACTGCAATCTTCGTTGTTGACGTTGCCGGGAATTGAGCGGAGCTCGCCAAGACCTCCATGCTCGTAATCCAGCCTGGTGCAAGCAATTGCGAACGGTCTGCGTGCTAACTTCAAGCCCAGAGGCGGCCTTGACTTCTGCTTTTATTTTAGTGGCGTTGATTGTTGGATCACGGGCTGCCAGCAATCTAATATAGCGCTTTTGGGCAGCTGTCAAAACAGTTGGGCGACCGCTGCGGGGTCGGTCAGCTAAATTCCCCATTCCGTGATACCTCTGCAACGTAGCCACGACACAGGATTGGGATATAGCAAGTCTGCGTGCTATTACTCTCGTGGTGTATCCTTCTTCCCTCAAAGTTACTATTCTAGCTCGTAAAACCTCTGATAATCCTCTTGACATTTTTTCAATCACAACTTTCCGCGAAAAATATCTTGAATCGCTTATAATTGACTAAATCAGATTTCTGAATGAGCGTAAGCTAGGACTGAAAGCCTTTTTATATGAAAAAACAATTGAACGGGGTCATTGTTTTATGTTCTAATTTATTTTTAAATAAAGAATCTAAAAAGAAGAAAAAATCATAATATAATCTACAGTAACAAAAAAGATTTCAGTTTTTCGAAGTGATCGCAAACTTTTTTTGATGTGTGTATATTATTATGTGTATAGATAAAGCAGTGCATTGTACTACACACACTTAGGCATTAAAACACATCCTGAGATGTTACGTTTCAACCCACACTCGTATGTTAATATCTTTCATTAACAGGAACAGTCACATAAATTACTATTTATTTATTATACTTTACTTACACCTATTTATTGATTATTTATTTATTTATGTTCAATTTGTACTAAATAAGTGTTAAAAGTATCACAGTGAAAGTACATGAGGGGCCTATTGCGGCAATGCAATTTGTGACAGTTGAGAGAGGTTGAATCCAAACATCGAATACATAACCAAATTACATTAAATAATACATGAAAATTAAAATAATAGCCAGAATCAATTGAATGGACGGAAAATAACAAATTACTCATGAGGGTCTAACTCGAATTTAATTTTTTTTTACCGTCCGTGATACATGCAATATTTTTCATCACATTTGCGAGCAAATAAATACAATGTTTATTTCTTATATGAATAAATATGGTTCACAACAACTATGGATTTTTCAAATGGCGGATTTTTTTCTAACAACATGGCCAGCTAGCTATTCTTCCATAGACAATACAACTCGAACTAAAATATTGTAAAAAGCAAAGACGCTAGACGAAAGATAGCCGTGATAGATTGTAAAAACATTTGCTAAATTTTTATACATAAATTAATTAAAATAAATTATAAGCAATTCTTAATGATAAGTATTTATTAAGTAGTATGAGGGGAGGTCCAAAAGTCCGCGGAATGGAGGGGTTGTAAATAATATAAAACAATAAGGCTATTTTTCCTTTTCAATATAATTACCTTTGAGCTCAATACATTTTTTAGATCTCGAAATTAGCTTTTCTATGCCATCGAAAAAATATTTTTTCTCTTTGCTCTCAAAATGAGCTAAAATTGCTGCCTTAACCTCTTCATCGTCGCGAAATTTTTTCCCACGTAATTCTTTTTTCAAATTTGGGAACAAATAATAATCGCTGGGGGCTAGGTCCGGGCTGTAAGGTGGGTGGGTCAGCGATTGAAAGCCACACTTGTGAAGAGCAGCCATCGCAACATTGCTCTTGTGAACCGGTGCGTTGTCTTGCAAAAGCAACACACCCTTTGTCCATTTTCCCCGCCTTTTTTCTTTGACAGCTTCCTTCAGTCTCTCTAATGTTTTTGCGTAATATTCTCCAGTTACATTGACCCCCTTTTCTTTGTAGTCAACCAATAAAATTCCTTCACAATCCCAAAAAACCGTAGCCATGATTTTTCCAGCCGATTCCGACACCTTAAACTTCTTAGGGGGTGGTGTACCCTTTTTTGCCATTGCATGACTCCTGTTTGGACTCGGGCTCAAAGTGATGAACCCAAGTTTCATCTCCAGTAACAATTTGCTCCAAAATTGGGGTAGGTTCTGCGCCACACAGCTCCAAGAAGTGCTTTGATGCATCGATTCTTTGTTGCTTTTGAGGTGGCGTGAGCATTCTCGGCACCCATCTTGCACTGACTTTCGTCATGCCAAGATGATCGTGTAGGATCCTCAAAATGGTAGTGTCTGATACTCCTACCAATGCAGACAGCTGTTTCTTCTTCAGACGGGCATCTTCCAATATAAATTTTTCGATTTTTTCAACATTGTCTGATGTGGTGGCCTCAACTAGCCGTCCTGGGCGAGGATCGTCTTCAATTGATTCTCTGCCATGTTTGAAAAGACCGTGCCACTTGTAAATCATTCTTTTACCAGGGCACTGATCCCCATAAACAGTTTCCATCTCATTCATAATGGTTTGAGGAGGTTTTCCTTGCTTGTTAAGGAATTTGATGACAGCACGAAACTCAATTTGCTCCATATTTGCAGTTTTCTTCCGGATTTACTTGTTTGTAGGGCGATATCTCGTAAACTAATGAAGTTAAAAGGGTGAAGCTTGATATATATACCCCTAATGAGTATCTGATTAGTACCACATCAAGCAAGCGTAATTAGCGGGCTCCCGCCCCCTCCATTCCGCGGACTTTTGGACCTCCCCTCGTATGTGGCTGAATTGCAATAAAATTTCTGTTTAGATAACATTTTAAGCGAATGTTTTAATTTTGAAGTTAAGCAAGCAACCTCCTTGCTTAGACTTGAACCTGATCTATATAAGGAAGTAATCGTGCTACAAATTAAATAAAACTCATTGTCCATGGCCCTAATGGGAAAAAAGTCCGAGGTTTTATTTGGGGCGTTATAGTCAAGTTAGCCACCATGCAATCATATTATTTACGCGCAAGTGTGATGAAAATTAAATTAACAATAATAAGCAAGTGCTTTCCATATGATAAAAATGTAATAAGTAAATAAGCATTGTTAAGATAGTTAGTTAAAAAAGACCGCTAGTTAGGATGGAAACACGAGCGCGACATCGTGATATACTTCATCAGTTGATAATTAGGACCGACTACACCACTAACCCATTTAAAGATATTAATATAAAATAATACAAACCAAAAACGTATTCATAAAAAATAATTATTAAATACAACTCTAGACTCTCTTAAGGCTGTTTCAAGTCGTCGTTACGTCCTGACCAGTGTTGCCGCACTATGAGTAAGCAAATAAATAAATTGTCATCAGCAAATATTAAAAATTGTTAAGTGCTCAACTCTTTATATGAAAATATGAAAGTGACTTTTGTTTGTTTTTGTAGCTGTGTTTACCCGTCCATAGTTTTAATTTCACTCTTGAACTATTGAATGTTTCGCTCCATTCATGATTCAAAATATCTCTTGTGAAATTGACTGATACATGTCTTGCAACACGAACTACTAATTTAAAGGTTGACAGGTAAATTTGTCCCTGAAATGGTGGCCGGTACAAATCAGTGTTACCAATTAAAAAGAAAATGCGGATCACTGGCGTCGTACCACCACCCTACTTAACTCTACCGCAAAGGAGCACCTTTGTATTCCGAATTGAAGAGTAAGGAGTCAGCGGAACCATAGGCCCAGAAATCTTCAGATCTAAAGTCCCACTGTTGATAACGCATATTTGCGATTAAGGTAGTTTAAGGTAGTTTATCATTTACCATCACGTCTGTTTGCAGGTTTAAATACCATTAGACAGAAGATCAAGATCGAAATCGAGAGATTGAACTCACTGCCATTAGAAGTGATATAGGGCGGAATATCTTCGGTGTCATACATGTCTTGAATCTCCTCTTCAGTTGGAGCTTCGCGGTCGTCTGAACATCCCACCAAAATCTGTAAAAATAATATAGCGTTATAAGTTTGCAGGTATACGATTTTGTTATTTTCTACATTCAATATAGGACTCAAACGATGAAGAGGTGGTGTGG